TCACAGCCATCTATAGTGAGATCTGGTGCCCCCACCTGGCATGCAGGTGTACAGGCAGACAGAACACTGTATATATAATAAATAAATAAGTCTTAAAAAAAAAAAAAACTTTTGGGACAACTAACCTGGTGGATGTAGCAGTGTACAAGAGAGATCCTGCCTCAAAACAAGGTGGAAGCCAGGCATGCTGGTAACCCCAGGACTCAGGAAGCAGCATGGATTAGTTACTTTTCTACCGCTGATCATGTTGAAACACCATGATCAAGGCAATTTACAAAAGGAAGGGTTTATTTGAGGTTTCCAGTTTCAGCAGGGTAAGAGTCCATCACCATCAGGTCAGGGAGACATAGTGGCTGGAACAGCAAGCTGAGAGGTCTCAAATTTAGGCAGGAAGCAGAGAGCAAACCAAGAGCAGTTATGAGGCCTTAAGCTCTCAAATCCTGCCCAGAGTGACATTCTTCCTCCAGCAAAAGGCCACACACACACAATCACTGAATTCTCCCCAAACAGCGCCACCAAGTGAAGACCAAGTATTCGAATGCATGAGATGATGCGGAACAGTTCTCATTCAAACCAAGGCACAGATGGAGGTAGATCTCTTTGAGCTGGAGGCCAACCTGGTCTACGTAGCAAGTTCCAGGGCAGCCTGGGCTACAGAGTGAGACTCTCATTTCAAAAAGAAGCAAACCAACAAACAAACACAGGTAGAAAGTGAGAACTGACATCTGAGGTTGTCCACTGACCTCTCGTGACTGCACTCATATGGAACACACACGCGCACACATACACACACATACACAGACCCTGGAGGCGGGGAGGGGAGGGCACATGCATGCAAGTGATACACTTAAAGGTAATCAATGTGGAGAATCCACATAGCTCCTCTCTATTCTCCCCATCATTGCTTGGGTGAGGTTGTCAGTAATCCCCCACTGCTGCTTTTTACTCGGAGCACACAATAAGCTAACTCTTGACTGATCCCTGGAAGGCCTTTGGCCACATATTTTCCCTTGTCTTACACGAAGTTTAGAGAGATGGGGAAAGCTGTTAGGCTCTCCTTCCCTCCGCGGTGGCAGTTAGTGGCTGCTGGCCAACCTAGTGCCAGAGAAAGGAGGCCTTGAACTGAGCTCTGTCAACCCCTCATGGATACAGATGGACACAACCAAGAGGTAATTGTCACAGCCACTGTGGCACTAGGGATTGTTTGTCATAGCTGCGTGCATTTAACCTACCCTGGCTGACGGCGGGGTGGGGGGGTGGGGTGTGTGTTTGAGGTTCATCTTTCTAATCCAAAGAGCTAGATTTTTAGATTTTTATCACACATACAAATATCCACAGACAATGTATTACATGGTTTTGGGTTTTTCTTTTCTTTCTTTCCGTGTGTGTGTATGTGTGTGTGTGTGTGTGTGTGTGTGTGTGTGTGACAGAAGTCAACGTCGAGTGTTGTTCTTTAGGCACTATGTGTTGTTGTACTTATTTATTTATGTCTGTATATATGTAGATCTACATACGTGTGTGTGTGTCTGTCTGGTGGTATGTATATGAGTGCCAGGGCCACAGCGCACAGAGGAGGTCAGAGAACAATCTTTGACAATGGGGTTTTTTAAGATTATTTATTTATTTTACATACGTGAGTGCTCTATCTGTAGGTCACTTGCATGTCAGAAGAGGCATCCGATCCCAGTGTAGATGGTTGTGAGCCACCATGTGGTTGCTGGGAATTGAACTCAGGACCTCTGGAAGAGCAGACGGTGCTCTTAACCACTGAGCCATCTCTCCAGCCTGACAATGAGTTTTTGACTTCCAATGTGTGGGTCCTAGGGATTGGTCGTCAAGCTTGGCAACAAGTGTGTTTACCTTCTGAGCCATCTTGCTGGCTGTTCTCTGAGACTGAGTCTCTAACTGGGATCCAGGGCTCATCAGTTAGGCTAAGCTGGCTAGCCAATGAGCCCCAGAGACCTGCCTATCTCTGTCTTCCCAGTGCTGGAATTACAAGTATGTATCTCCACACTCAGCGGTTTAATCACGTGCCAGCAATTTAACTCAGAACCTCGTGCATGGACGCCAAACACGTCACCAACTGAACATCTCCTCAGCACCAATTTGGTTAAAAAAAAAAATACATGAATAGTGTATAGTGGCCTAGAGCTATAATCAAATTGTCTGGGAGGCAAAGATGGGGAGATCAGGAGTTTAAGGCTAACCTGGGCTAGTAAGACTGTCTAAGATGTGTAAGATAGTAAGACTGTCTCAAAGATACTGACCAACCGATAAGCTGGGCGGCAAAAGCACACTCTATGAGTTCAAGGCTAGCCTGGTCTACAGAGCTAATTTCAGGAGATCCAGGGCTACACACAGAGAGAAACCCTGTCTCAAAAAAGAAAGAAAGAAAGAAAGAAAGAATGAGAGAAAGAAAGAAAAAAAAAGAAAGAAGGAAAGAAAGAGAAAAAAAGAAAAACAAGCAAATATGCAAATAAACAGTGAGTTGTTGTTTGTTATTTTGGTTTTTGAAACAGGATTTCTCTGTGTAGCCCTGGCTGTCCTGGAACTCACTCTGTAGACCAGGCTGGCCTCAAACTCAGCGATCCGCCTGCCTCTGTCTCCCAAGTGCAAGGATTAAAGGTGTGCACCACCACCACCACCACCAGGCAGTAAATGAATTTTTTAAAAGCCCATTCAACTTGTTTATTTGCTGTCACGTGTTGAGTCTCACTCCCTGCTTTGTGGCCTCCTGATGGCTGCTGGTTCGTGGTGGATGCCTTACACACAGCCGCTAGTTATTTTTCCTTCCCCCACTCACTGATGGGCGTTTAGAGCAGGGTCAGCTTTCTGTGGTCACAAACAGTGCTTTGGTGGATGTCCTTGGATGTATCTCTAGGTGCACATGTGTGCGAACTCCCCAGGCTGTGTTCCGAGAACTGGAACTCCCTGGTGGAAGGGCAGTTGTCAGCTCTGCCAATGACCTAATTCTTCTCCAAGATGACTATGTCAACAAGATTTCTCAATGTACCTCCTTTTTTCCTCTTCCCATCTGCTGCCCCCACGCATTGCAAATGGCCCCGCATTTTTCTCCTAAAGTCATTCCTGGGATCTTAAACCTCCCCCATAAAACTCTCTTCCAGCTTTTTAAGGGAAAAAAAAAAAAAAAAGTAGTCCAAAATCTTATCTGGCAAAGGCCTGAGTCAGAAGGCGGCAGAGTTGGAGCTGAGGACCCGCTGGGTCAGGGAGGCCTGAGGAAGTTCTGAAACAGATCTTAATCACTTTCACTGAGTCAGACCACATCGCCTGACAGCATGCATCAACAGGTGTTGCCAAAACTGACCGTCCTCCGCCCAGGGGATCAGGGGTGAGCCCGTGGATAATACCCCCAGACCACTTCAGAATAAAGGCCAGGGAAACCATTCGGTGCCTCTGGTGGCTGAGCAGTGGCCCGGGGAAGCTGGAGCCTGCTATGACCCACTTCTCATCCCACACAGGCAGCAGTGAGTCAGGAAATCCCCTACATTTCAAACTGATCAAATCAAATTGTTGATGTGATCAACAATCCTCTCTCCTTGGTCTTCAGTCTCCCAGGCTCTACAATTCAATTCTCTTAAGAGCTGTGGATTAGAATGTCAACCTTTTTTTTTTTTTTTTTGGCTTTTTTTTTTTAAATCTTAAAAAGCTGACAATGTGCTGTTTGGAAAAAAAAAAAAAAAAGCAACATCATTTGTGACCACAGAAAGCTGGCCCTGCTCTAAACACCCATCAGTGAGTGGGAGAAGAAAACTAACTAGTGGTTGTGTGTAAGGCATCCACCACGGACCAGCAGCTGTCAGGAGGACAATGCAGGGAGTGACACTCAACATGTAACAGCAAATGCTAAACCACAGCCCAGGACATGAACTTCACCTTCATTTTAAAATCATCCCAGTCAGCAACTCATCCCTTCAACCATGAAGGAGCTGTGGAGGTTTGAATGACAAGGGCCCCTATAGACTTCTATGTTAGAATGCTTGGTCACCAGCTAGTGTAACTGTTTGGGAAGGATTAGGGGTGGGGCCTTGTAGGATGAGTTATGTCACTGGGGGGGAGGGCTTTAGGGTTTCAAAAGCCCGCCTCCCCTCCCCCTCTCTGCCTGCAGCCTATGGACAAGGATATAAAGCCCCAGCTACTCCTCCAACATCATGCTTGTCTGCTTCCCACCATGATGATCATAGACTAACCCTTGAAAACTGTAAGCAAGCCTCCAGTTAAGTGCTTCCTTGGTCATGGTGTCTCTTCACAGTAACAGAACAGTAAATAAAACTACATTTTAGAGTCCTTTGCTTTAGGAGAGAAAACTTTTAAAAAATATTTTTTTGGTTTTTCTTATTATTATTATTAAGATTTATTTATTATGTATACAGTGTTCTGCCAGCATGTACATCAGCACACCAGAAGAGGGCACCAGATCTCATTATGGATGGTTTTGGAGCCACCATGTGGTTGCTGGGAATTGAACTCAGGACCTTTAGGAAGAACAGCCTGTGCTCTTAACCTTTGAGCCATCTCTCTAGACCTAGTTTTAATTTTTTGTTTTTTTGAGACAGGGTTTCTTTGTGTAGCCTTGATTGATCTGGATTTACTTTGTAGACAAGGCTGGCCTCCAACTCACTGAGATCTGCCTGCTTCTGCCTTCCAGAATGCTGGGATTACAGTCATGTGCTACTACCACTTGGCTGAGAAAGCGTTTTTAATCTTCCCCTTTGCTTCTTCTCTTTCCCTAGCTGCTGTTCTTTTGCTGGCCCTGTCCAATTCTGTGTTTAGAACTCTTGTCAATAATTAGACTCAGTGGGCACAAGCATCTGCTGAACTCAGGGGAAGAGGAAGACAGCCCACATTTGGTGGATCCACCAGTTGGGCTTGTAACTTGGCTCAAAGCTCTAAATGTCAGAAAAATCTTTAGGGTACAAGCTTAGATTCTGCAGTGAGGCTCACGACCTGTCCCCGGTACATCAGCTAAAAAGATGTGTAAGTAAAAGCAAAAAGCAGAGAAAGGTTTATTTAATGTGGTCACAACAGGAAGATGAACAAGGAACAAGAGGTCCAGTGAGCATTCCCCACCAAGTCCATCACTGGGTCCTTGACAGGAGTTCAGAGATACGAATAACTAAGTGGTTCATGTCAAGGTGGCCACGCCCAGCCTTGTCTCAGAGCCAGTGTTTCTGCACGGTAGTCTAACAAGCTGCCAGAACTGTGTGAAATCTCTCTCTGGGAGACACATTCTTCCTTTGGCTGGCACCAGGCTTCAGCCTTTTCTTCCTCAAGCTCAAGGCTCCTGGGAAAACTGTAAATCCTTGGAGACCATTGCTTTATTACTCTGATAGCCAGCGGGAGGGGCACAGAAGTCTGTCTTTAGAACATCTTCATTCCTGCCAGGATGGTTACACAACAGACATTCACTGTGTTGTGCAGCTCAGGGAGCTGGGGCCAGAGGGGCCTGAGGTCCTTGGACTTCCAGGGAGCTGGGGCCGCAAGGGGTCAAGGTTATCTGTCTTTCCTTCGGAGGTTTTCCCATGCAGATGCTTGAGAGATCGTGGGATTCCTATCAACTGTGCATCTGTCAAGTCTTCCTTTTGGGGTACAGCTTGGTGAAAGAGGGCTTGTAGAATCAACCAGGCTCCAGGTTCAATTCCCAGCACTGCCAAAAAAGAAAAGGAAGAGAAAACTCTTTTAATATCAAAGACACAGGCAGTGCAATGAAACCTTGTTTTCCAAACACGTCAAAAACTTTGCTGTTTGAAATCGAAGCCTTGAGGTCAGAACAGCCTCTTCTTGTCAGTGTGTTGGAGCCAGATCCCACAGAGAAGCGGCCTAGATTCCCAACCCAGGCGCAAAGTTTCAGAAAGGGTTTTTTTTTGAACACAATAGTTTATATTTATCTTAACTGTGTGTCCGAGGAAACAGAATCATGAGTCTAATTTTTAGTGCAAGACAGATGTAAACCCCTTTTGCACAGCTAGGCTTGCTGAGGCCCAACCAACATTGTTCCCTTCCAACTTCTCAATTCCACAAAACCCCAAAGCCTACTGAGAACCCCACCTTTTCCTTTGGCAAGACTTACCACAGTTTGTTTTGTGCCTAAATGCTTACACTGTTTCCTTTACTGCATAACAGTGAGTCACTTTAACTGTAGCAGTGTTATCTCTGGGAAGGTGGACCTGGGGTGTTCAAGAGAGCTGGCTGAGGGCTGGGGAGATGGCTCAGAGGTCAAGAGCACTAGGAGCTCTTCCAGACCATCTGGAATAGATTCTCAGCACCCACATGGTGTCTTACAATCACCTGGAAGTCCAGTTACATGGGATCCACTGCCTGTGGGTGTCATGTGATACACTGTGATAGCACTGCTACATAAATTAGCAATTAAGAAAAATTCTCAGCGGGGAAGTGGCCCATGCCTTTAATCCGAGCACTAGGGAGGCAGCAGCAGGTGGCTCTACAGAGTGAGTTCCAGGACAGCCAAGGCTACATAGAAAAACCCTGTAGCAGGTCTTTGCTATTTGTGGGTTCTTTTTTTTCCCAGCCTTTATTCATTCCCACCCTCTCCCTTTACACTCCCTAAGACTAGACAGGAGAGAAACAAGGCACGTACGTGGTGCACATACAAGCAGGCAAAACAATCATGCAATAAAATTAAAAAACAGATAAATAACACACAAACATACAAAACGAGCAAGCAAGAGCGCAATCCAGTGTTAGAAAAGATTATTAGTGAAGTTTGCACAAAGAAACACCAAAGAAAGAGGAACGAACTCGGCAAAACAATTTGTTTTCGTAAAGCGTTTACGCCAGGACTCAAAGGGGGCGAAGTTCATCTAACTTTTATTCTAAGGCAGGTGGTGACCACATCGGTACGAGAGGACCTCATAATCTCATCTGATTGGCCTATTTATAATCAACGTGAAGGAAAGGGCAGAGAGGTTGGCTGCTCTGGGTCACCGCATTCTCGGAATGCTTCAGAGCTTTTGCACAAACCAAAGTTCTGCTAGGTGGGAGATGAAAAGATTTTAATTCCTTTGCATGAAAGTTTGTCAAGGTGTGAGAGATCTGTGGAGTACTGTCCCTTGGTGGGCTAGCCATTTTTCATTGAAGAAACAAACAAAAGAAAAGCAAAAACCACTCTCACACCAGTAAGCAGCGTTCCTCCTTGATTTCTGCTCCTGTCGTCCTGGCTTCCTTGGATGGTGAACTGTAACATGTAAGCTGAAACAAACTCTTTTCTCTCCAAGTTCCTTCAGATCACAGTGTTTATCACAGCAACAGAAAGCAAAGTAGGACACAGGGCTAGTCCAACAGACCGCACCAAGCCTCAGCTGGAGTGACCCCACCCACGGTGGAACAGTACACTATCCCTTTCTGTCTTTCTTGAGTGGCACGGAGGCTCCAGGGTGTGGCCTCAGAGACTTTCTGAATTCCTGCTCATCTCTTCCCATTCTGCTCCTGGGTCAACTGGGGCGGGGGAAGACGAAGCCCTATCTCCCGGACGAGAGAAGCCACTTGCGCTAGAACGAAGCTCTGGAAAGGCGCAAGGAGGTGTAGAGACGAGTTAAAACCATAGACTCGAGCCGTACAGGCTGAGGTCTAGAGCGACGCTGCAGCAAATCTACTTCCGCAGTCAACTGCCGCTTCCGGCGTCAAAACCGGAAGTCTCGGCATAGGGAGCTGGCGTCCATTTTCCGTACTCAGTAGCGGGCTGTGGTCCTGGGTTCCTGGCCTGGGTTCACTCGGACTGCGACGTGGCCTCTGCGGAGGTAGATGCTCCGCTCCTTCCTTCCGTCTCCTCCGTGCTCCTAGCCTGGGCGAGTGGGGAGGCCCTGTCTTGGATTTGCGGCTCCGCGCCTGGCGCCGCCTTGAGCTCCACAGGGCCGGAAGTCCACTTCCGCTCTGCCTGGGCGGCTCCTTGGTATCACGCCGGGCGTCTATTGCCGAATTGAGTCCTTGCACCACCTCCTGTCTTTGAACCCTTGAGCATGTTTTTCTCTGCCAGCATGTTGTTTGTCCATGAGTGTGGATGACAGTATCTGAGGGCGGTTGGAGTACAACCGAGAGCTGGGCGTGGTGGCGCACTCCTTCATCCCAGCACTCCAGAGGCTGTAGGATTGCTGGTAGTTAGAAGCCTGCCTGAGTTACATATCGAGTTCCAAGCCAGCCACGGCTCTTTAGAAGGAGCCTGTTTTCAAGACAAAACAAAAACCAAAATAAGTAAATTATAACTCTTGGTAATCGAGAGGAGTTGGTGAGGGGTGCTGGTTGGCTCCTAAAGTCAACTGTCAATGTGAAAAGCGGGGTTTGCAGAGCATTAAGAGCTGAGGTTGAGAGCGGTAAGGAGGATGGATGAAATTCGCTCAAGGCAATGGAACTAGGGGGAAAAACGTGCTGTGGAGTTTTGACCTGAGGAGAGGAACTTTGTACTGGGTAGGTGGTTTCCAGAAACTGTTAGCAGTTGTGGAACTGGTCTGTCTCTCAGAAGTAACCTTGAAAACTAGACTCCTGGTAATTTTTTCGTTTCGTCTTTAGTTTTTCAAGACAGGGTTTCTTTGTGTAGCTTTGGCTGTCCTGGACTCACTTTGTAGACCAGGCTGGCCTCGAACTCGCAGCGATCCGTCTGCCTCTGCCTCCCCAAGTGCTGGAATTGCAGGCCTTTGCCACCAAGCTCAGCCAACTCCTAGTAATTTAAAGATTATTTTAAATGCCAGTGTTGTGAAGATCCTGGGTTCTTAGAATTAGTGAAAGGGTGCTTTCCTAAGTGGGGTTGGGATCTTCACTCAGAAAGGTTTTGGCAGGCGGTGAAAACCTGAAATTTATCTTCCTCTTGGCTTCTTGTGGAAATAACACGTTTAAACCACAAAGATACACAATGAAAATATTTTCCTCCTCTATTCTGTGTTCAGAAGTACAGTTAATAACTTCCAGGTATGGTTTGAAGAAGTGTTATGCATATACTAGTGTATTTATTTAATTTCCCCAAGTGGTTTCTGTAGAAACTGACAACAGGAGCATTCCATGATATGGTTAAGGGGAAAGTTTTAATTGTAGATATTAGAGAACAGCCAGAGGACTCAGAAATAGTCTATTGCAGAGAGAAAAAGAAAAGGACTGAATACAGCCTGCAAATTGGACATGGCCAGTGCTATCTGTGAGAGAGGGGAGAATAGCAGAGGATAGAGCCTAGAGAAAACAGAGCAAACATGAGCATATTAAAACTCGCAGGGTTATAAGATTAATGAGTAAGTCAGGTGTATGGCACATACCTGTAGTCCCAGTTCAAAGCCAGCCTGGTTTATAAATCGAGAGCAGGACAGCCATGAGCTGGAGGGAGTTTAGGGTAAGGGAGCAGGAGAAGGGCTGGGGTGGACTTTGAAATGCAGGTACTTGTGATATTGAGGGTTCTTGGAAGACAGCATGGGCTTTGATATGCTGATAGGCAGCACAGGTAGCCAGTCATAGGACTCTTCTGCCATAGGTAAAGGAAATGAGTCCTTTTGGCAGATGGGAGCCAGTTTCACAAGTTCTTAAGGAATGATGGCTTTAACTTCTAGAAGTCCTCCAGTAGGCCAGATTGCACTCATTTCTACATATGGACCACCTGTGGGGTTTGGGGACTAGGAGTTACCTTTGGACCTGACAGCTTCATACAGCTGTTGATCTGTACCTTGTTTAGGTCTGTGTTATGGGTGACTTAGCACTCGTGGACTCATGCGTTGCAAAGCTGCATAGTATTCTACTGAATAGTTGGTAATACTTTAATTATTTACCAGTTGATGGCCACTTAGATTGGACTCAAGACTTTTTTTTCTTAACAGTTTCATTCAACTTTTCCTTGACTAAATAGTTTCTTTTTATCTAAAGTCTCTGTGGTTCTGATTTATCTTTTGACTATATAAAAATATCAGATCCTAAATACTTTATTAAAAAAAAAAGAAGAAGAGGTTCAGCCAGGTGTGGTGGTACATGCCTGTAATACCAGAGGCAGAGGCAGATGGATCTCCATGAGCTCAAGGCCAGACTGGTCTACAAAGTGAATCCTAGACAACTGAAGCTACAAAGAGAAACCCTGTGTCAAAAAATGAAACCAACCAACCAAACAAACAAACAAAAAAAGAGGTTCACTTGGGAGGCAAAGGCAGGTGGATCTTTGAGTTTGAGGCCAATCTGTTCTACAGCCAGTTACAGGACAGCCAAGGCTACACAAAGAAACCCTGTGTCAAAAAAACAAAAGGTAAAAGTTGACTTGCCTCACTGATTTGGAAGTTTAAGGGCAGTACTGCTCTAGGCTGAGCAGCTCTGGGTGACGCTACATTGATGGGGTTTGTGTGCTGTGGGAAATCATAAGGAGACAGAAACAGATTTAAGTGGTACAAGTTTCAGTTGTATGACCTTATTCTCGTAAACTAGCTTATGGTGGTGCACGCCTTTAGGCCCAGCACTCATAGTAAGGTGGATCTCTGGCGCCTGGTCTACAGAGTGAATTCCAGGACAGCCAGGGCTACACAGTGAGACAGACAGATAGAAAGATAGAAAGAAAATAAAGGACTAGCTCAGCTCCGGCAGGGGTATGCCTTAGTTGGTGATTTTCTGGTACTCTGGAGGACATTTTGATCTATATGCACTGCATAAAGTAAATGTGGTGGCTTGAGGTTGTAATCCTAGCACTTAGGGAAAGGCAGAGGATCAGAAAATTACAGGACATTGTCTGCTACAAATTCAATCTGAGGCCAGCTTGAGCTACAGACCCTGTGTTAAACCAGTAGAAACAATGAACTATTTCCAGGAAAGTAGTATTCATCCTTCCTAAGGGCACTCCTGCCACCCTCTCCCCACCACAGACAGTGACCCGATTGTCTGCCCAGCTCTACCCATTATGCTACTTAAAAAATAAAAATAATAAAAAGACAGCCTCTTCTATCTCAAGCTGTCCTCAACTTGGTGTAAGCGGAGGCCGGCCTGGAACTTTCCGTCCTCCTGCCTTTGCCTCCTGAGCACTGGGGTTACAGACGTGCCACTACATCTAACCAGGTCCTCCAACGCATGACTCTCTCCGTGGACAAGCCACCTTTTAAAAGAGATTAATTCTTTTTATTTGTGTGTATATGCACACACACACCAGTGTACATGTCCTTGGGGGTTAGGGGCATCTGATAGTCCCGGAGCTGAAGGAACATCTCCAACTCATACAGACCACTTCTAAGCTGGCAGTACCCACCCACAGGCTGGTGAGACAGCTCAGCTTGGTGAGTGAGTGCCAGACCCAATAAAGTGAGTCCAGTCCCTGGAACTTATATGGTAGAAGGCGAGAACAAACTCCCAAAAGTGGTCCTCTGACCTCCACAGGTGCCCTCACATAACAAATGAGGAACATAACCTAAGAACACAGGGCATCGCTGCCTTTGCCTCTCACCTAGATTCCTCACGACTCTGCACAGGACAAGCCAGGACAAGGACTAGAATCAATTCAAGCTCTAGAAAATGGGTCAAGGGAACTTGAGAGCAGCTTGGCTACCAGGTGCTCAGAACTGGTCCATCGGGGCTAGACCAGTGATTCAGCCATTAAGAGCCTGCAGCGCTCTTGCAGAGGACCTGACTTCAGTTGCCAGTGTTCAGGTGAGGCAGCCACGGGTATGTAACTCCAACTCCAGGGGATCTGATGCCCAAGGGCTGGTGTGTGCTCATGTATGTGCAAATGCAGATACAATACAAATACAGATACAATTTTTTTTTTCCCCAAAAAAACTTTACTGCAAGACAGGTCATCAGTATCACTGACTGTGATTAGTGTTAAAAGTCAGCTTGACAGGATCTAGGCTGGGAGAGGGATCTCTGGGTGTGCCCGTGGGGATTGTTTTCATTGCCCTAATAGAGGTGGGAAGGCCTGCCTGCTACGGGCAGCACCATGCTGGGTTTGGAATTCTGAATGCCCTATTTCTGATTGTGAGTAGAATGTGACTGTCTGCTTCAAGGTCCTGCAGCCTTGACTCTCACACCATGTTGGATGTGCCCTTGAACCACGAGCCAGAACACAGTTCTCCTTTAAGTTGCTTTTGTCAGCATATTTTTTAAATTGTATGTGTATGCATGTCGTATCCATATATGTGTATGTACATCATGTGCATGTCTAGTACGCACAGGAGAGGGTGTTGGGTCCCCTGGAAGTGGAGTTACACAGTGGTTGTGAGTCACTATGTTGGTGCTAGGAATTGAACCTGGATCTTCTGCAAGAACAACAAATGCCCTTACCTACTGAGCCATCTCTCCAGCCTCTATAGAATATTTTATCACATGAGCTGGAGAGATGACTCAGTGGATAAGAACACTGACTGCTTATCTTAGAGTTGTGTTGCCATGAAGAGACACCATTACCATGGCAATTTATTTATTTTTTTTTAATTTTCAAGACAAGGCTTCTCTGTAACAGCCAGCCCTAACTATGTGGAACTCACTTTGTAGACCAGGCTGGCCTCAAAGTCAAAGAGATCCACCTGCCTTTGCCTCCCAAGTGTCAGAATTAAAGGTGTGCTCCACCATGCCCAGCCCTAAAAATGGAATATTTCATCCTAGCAACAGAAGAGAAAGTGACAATGAGACAAAGTCTCACTGTGTACTCCTTCCGGGCTTGGAATTCATATGCAGGCCAGACTAGCTTTAAATGCAGAGATCCACCTGGGATTACCACGCCCACCTGCCAGTTTGTTTTTGACGCAGGGTCCCTAGTAGCAGAGCATGGGTGCACTCACGCACGCATGCCATATATAGGTGTGCGACAGTCCTTGTGTGGAGACCAGAGAACGACTTGTGGGAGTTCTTCCACCATGCGGGTCCAAGACTCAAATTCAGATTCTCAGGCTTAGTGGCAAGCACCTTCA